CAGCAGCAGCAGCAGCAGCAGCAGCACTTTGATCTTTCTTTGCTGCCTATTGGGGGGTACGAGCCCACTCAGCTGCTGCAGCGCTTTAATATGACTCCAGAAGAAGCCGTTCAGGTGGGCAGCAACCCCACCAATAACCACCCTCTTGCTGAGGGTCCCTAGCTGCTGCTGCTGCTGCTGCCTGTTGTTGCTGTTGCTGCTGCTGCTGCTGCCTGTTGTTGCTGTTGCTGCTGCTGCTGCTGTTTCTCGAATCCCTCGCTGCTGTTGCAGCTGCTGCTGTTTCTGTCTGTGTCTGTTGCTTCTTCCGCCGGTATTGCTGCTGCTGCTGTTGCTGTCGTTCCTGCACCTCTTGCTGCTGCTGCTGCTTATGCTGCTGCTGCAGGCACACTGTCTCCTAGGCAGCCGTGTCTCAGTGGCTTCTCACTTCGATGTGCTGCCCTTAGGGGGCGAGCCCTTTGGAGAGGCCCCCTTAAGAGCAGAAGCCGCTTGTAAGAAGTTGGGGGTCCCCTTTAACCCCCACCTCAACTCCCCTGGGGGCCCCCCCGGGGGGGGCCCCTCGGGGGCCCCTTCAGAGGGCCCCTCTGAAGGTTCCTCTGGGGGCCGCTCTGGGGGACCCCCCAAGCAGCAAACCCCTACAAGAGCCCCACCTGGGTTCTACTGCTTACAGCCAGGAGAGGCTATTTATGTTTAGAAGCGATGAGTAACAAACAGTACAACCTAAACCCTAAACCCTAACTACGGCGAACCCTAAAGACGCATGCAGTACCCATTCAAGCCCTATGATACCCGCCGATAGGGTTTAAGGTTTAGGGTGTATGGGGAGGGGAGCAGCTGCAGAAAAGCGCAAGCTCCGTGTACCTAAAGAAGCCTCTCGTCATACCCTGCAAGGTCTTGATTACCTTAGCAACGGGGCCAGGGGGCTGCAGCAGTACTGCATTCAGGTGTATGTACACCTCAACTTGTCTATGGTGTTGAGTGTTTCGGGGGGGTGTTGCTGGGGAGCAGCATTTAAATTAATTGCCGACAAAACTGCATAATAATGGGTTTTATTGTTTCCTTTTGAATAAACTATAAAATATTTTATATTATAGTATTAATTAGTTATTAGACTCCCTTCATTCTGCTGTTAGCCCTAGAACGTCAGGCGTGGGGGTTGTGAGGGGTGTGGCTGTGTGCTGGGGTGTATGTGGGTTTTCTAAGAGGTTTTTTTCTGAACATTATCATTTTAAAAGGAAAAATAAATAAATAAATATAAAAAAGTATATTTTTCGGCCCTGTTTTGTTAACAAGAAGCGAGTTAATGCTGCTTGCATGCGTGGGCGCAGCAGCAGCGGGTGTATGTACACTGCGGGGCTGGAGCAGCATGGGGTAGAAGAGGCAGCAAGGGAGTTTGTTGTAAGAGATTGAACTTGCATGTTTATTTTTCTTTCTCTTTCCCTTGCTATATCTCATATTTCAGGTGTATATACACTTCAAAATGGGGAAAGCAGGGAAGGGTACCGGGTCCTTCGGGCGTCGCCACGGGAAGACTCACTTTCTTTGCCTTCGTTGTGGGCGCCGCGCCTATCATGTGCAGAAGAAGACCTGTGCATCTTGCGGTAGGGTTTAGGGTTTAGGGTTTAGGGTTTAGGGTCTGGGGGTGTTTCAGCGATAATCCCTACACCAGGCCCCAAGGGGCCCCTCAATTATGCTGTGTGGGGTTTTATTGTTTTGGGCTTGCATGCGCTGTTTCCTTCTTTTCTTCTTCTTTCAAGTCTTTCTTTATTGTTTATACGAGAGAGGGAAAGGCCTTCTGGGCCCCTAACCCATTTCTGTGGGGTGTATGTACAGCTGCTGCTGCACTACATGTTGCTGTCTGTCTCTTTGATAATCTCTCCTTTTCTAAGGGAGGAGAACAGAGAGACTAAGGGGGCCCTGCAAGAAAAAGCAGAAAGCAGGGTGTTTATTATGGGTGGGGTTGTTGGGTTTTGGGGTGTGCATACACCCAAAGGCCCGGGAGGCATTGTTTAAAGGTTGCTGCTGCTTCTTGTCTCTCTTTGTTTCTTCAGGATATCCCTCTGCAAAGAAGAGGTCTTACAACTGGTCTGAGAAGGCTAAGCGTAGACACACCACTGGCACGGGCAGGTGCGTCTAGGGTTTAGGGTTTAGGGTTTAGGGTTTAGGGTTTGGGGTTTAGGGTGTAGGTAACTGAGGGTCTCAGAATACCCTCAGCACTCTTTTTGTTTGCCCTTATTGTTCTGCATCTACTAGAAATGCGTTTTACGGGTTTACTTCTCTCTAGTCGCGGCCTAGGGTTTAGGGTCTAGGGTTTAGGGTTTAGGGTTTAGGGTTTGGGGTTTGTGTGCAGAATGCGATACCTGAGGACTCTGCCTCGCCGTGCAAAGAACCAGTTTAGAGAGGGTACAGTGGCTGTAAGCCATGCGATACCTGAGGACTCTGCCTCGCCGTGCAAAGAACCAGTTTAGAGAGGGTACAGTGGCTGTAAGCCAGAAGCGCAAGACCAAGGCCCAGCAATAAAGCATAGATATGTCTAAATATAATAAAATATAATTAAATATAACAGTAATATAACATTAAATAGAACGACAAAGACACGGGGGCCCCCGGGTAGGGGGCCCCATACCCCACAACGCTGCCTCTGACCTTCTACGCAGCAGGGAGTTGCATGTGGGTCCCCACAGGGGTTCTTTAAACATTCAGGGGCCCCTAGGGGGCCCCTAGGGGGCCCTTTTGCTTTGGGGGGTTGGGGGCCCCAGAGGACCCTTTGAGGGCCCCTAGAGGGGGCCCCCTTTGGGGGCCCCTTGGGGACAGTTATAGGGGACTGTTTTGTCGTTGGTGTTGGTTGGTTGGTTTAAAGGGACAGTTGAGGTTTAGTTTAGAGACAGTTGCTGAGTGTTGAAGTAGTAAGAGATATAGATAATTAAAGGGTTTACTAGGGCTTAGGGTTTAGGGTTTAGGTAGTTGAGGTGTACAGGCACCTCATTCATATAAAGGGTTATTGGTCTAGATGATACAGCAGAGAAACAAGAGACAAAGGCAACATGAGGCCTTCAGGTGTACAGACACCCCAAGAAGAGGGGGGGAGGTCTTTTTAAGAGAGATGCAGGTTTTTGTTTATATTAAATTCTCTTTTCTTTATTTGTTTGTAAATTCATTTTAATATTAAGTCCTTTATTTATAGGCTAATTATACAGCGATACATAGTAGAGGGGCTTCTGCTGCTGCAGCAATGGTGTTGCTGCGGTGGTGGGGTTGTTGTAGAGATCGGTTTGCTGCTGTTGCTGTCGCTGCTGCTGCTGCTGCTGCTTCTTTCTTTTTTTATTTTTCTTTCTATATAAATATGCAACATAAAGATATCCGTTTTGCTCTCTGTCGCCAGTAGAGGGGCCCCTACCCCACCTCCTGGGGGCCCCCCTGAAGCCTCTGGGGGCCCCCCTACCAGGGCCCTAAATAAAGAATATGGGGCCCCCATCTAAGCCTAAATCTATAGGGGCCCTCTTGGTGCAGTCAGCAGATCTTCGTGATCTTCTGTGTGCAGCCTCTCGTGCTCGGGTGGGCCGCCACCCTCCAAACCCTAAACCCTAAACCCTAAACACTAAACCCCCGTGATGCACCTCTCCATGGGTCTAGTTAGGGTTTAGGGTTTAGGTTTTGTTGAGCTGCTCCTGCTGCTGCAGGTGCTTAAAGAAGAAGTGCTGAAGCTTTCTATAGAAGAAGCTGCTCTTCTCTGCTACCGCGTGGGGGGCCTCGTAAATGCTCTCAGGTTATCTAGCAGCAAAGGGGGCCCCCAGGGGGGCCCCCCTCAGGGGCCCCATGGACGGGAACAGCGGCTTTGTGGGGGGGCCCCCAAGGGCCCCCAACGGGGCCAGAAGGG